AGCGGGGAGGCGACCCGCTTTTCATGGCAGAAACGTGGGATTCAAGACAGAGCGGGGGCTGTCTGGAAGCCAAGGGAGAAAGCCCAAGATGGGGTGTTTATAACCAAAGTCCATGAGCCTCCAGAAAAACAAAAAAGTGGATATAACTGGAGGCAGGTTCCTTTAATTGCATGGAATTCCCTAAAAAGGTTAAGATCTACCAGTCTAGGATGAAAGCACACAGTACTTAAAAACTGTCCAAAACTAAGTATTTTTTTGAGGGGGGGGTGAGGGGAGAAATTACCGGATGAATGTAATTATTATCCAATTATCTCATCTGGAGACAGGACGCTGCTTTCCACAGCTGCATGCCATCACTTGATGGAAAATGAAAATGTCCCTGGACCAGCATTACTTTTTCCAAAGAATGAAATGAAGCAAGTAATCTGCAGTCAGACTTCAAAACCATAATTTTAAAAAAGTGTATTAAGATTAGCACTTTTGGTCTCCTGAGTTCTCTCAGTTGCAAAGAACAGCTCTGGGCAGTTGAGAACATGGGTCTAATAGGCTCTTAGCCAGATTTTCAATGTTCAAACAATGACATCACTGCTCTTCTGTAAGAGGTAAAGATAATTTCTGCAGGGCTTTGGTTGAAAAGACCTGTGGCAGGTCCACAGAAAGTCCTACTGACCCCAACACAGGGGGTGGAGGAACACAGAACCTAAATATGCAACTTCCTGAAACTGCTTCACTCTCCTCTCCCCAACTCAACACAGGTGGATCTGGAACATGCAGCCCCCAACAAGGCAACAGGACCACAGAAGCTACTGGAACCGTGACCTCAGGTCCCCTACCCACAGAGCCAGACACACCTGAGAAAGACCGTAAAGGTTTGTGTTCTTTAGAAAAAAGGTGCTTTTATAAGTCCAAGGTATTATTAAGTTCCAGACTGTGTGACCAATACCAAAAACCAGGCCTCCTGATGAGATGAAATCCAACAGGAAAACAAGAGGCAAATCAAACACAGGATACACAGGACAGTCAGAACAAAAGGGAGGCGCGGGAGCGCTCATTGTGAGGTCTGTGTCCGAGAAGCCTCAACTGCAGAGGAGTGTTCTGTGCCGGCAGGGATGGCCCTCTACAGGGCTGCTATCAAAGCAGTTCCAAATTCGGGTCTTAACTAGCAGCCCCTTCCTTTGAGTACAAAAGAGTAAGGCCTGGAACGGTGCCCATGGGCCACTTTGTAAAGAAAGGGGTAAGGCATGTGTATAGATGAATGCTCCCCATCAACCCCGCAGAAAATCAGGAGTCAGACTCTTTGTTGTTGACAACCATTGTGAAAAAGTAGGGGGAATGCCGTCAGGATTCTGGGCAGGGGAGGGGCCTGTTTTCCTTAGCTCCTTCGGAGATTCGGTCACCTGGTCTCACCTCACCTCTCCCGAAAGCTGCCAGCCTCAGTACAAACACAGCTGGCTTTCCCGGAGCTCCGGTTGTCCGGGTGCCAAAATCAGGAAGCCATTTTACTCAACAGCCCCAGCTGCTTGCTCAGCCCAACACTGAAGGCAACAGTTCCTAGGAGAGGCGCAGGTTGGGTGGAAGGGGCTTTGCCCTCCCTCCAACTAGTCCATACACTGCCCAGACCCAGAATCTCTGCGATGCCGTTTTACTTTTACAAGTGGGGCTGTCTCCCAAACTTTTAGCCACACATAAAATGGAGTTAGTGCCCAATCCAGAGCTGGCAGAATGCCCGTGGATTGGGAGTGTGCTCCTGGGTAACCTATGGTCTACACTTCCACACTTTTTAGGGAATTGGTCCCCACCTCCTCCATCTACTTTCAATTTCTGAGCAACAATACTACAGGAAATTCACTCTGCATCCAGTGCTAAGTGCATCATATACATTCTCATATTTCACCTTTCTCCCACTCTGCGCTACACACCAGCCCCCCGCCCCACCGGCAGGCACCAGCTCCATCTGGTGATGGGTCAATCCAATCCAGAGCCGGTGCTCTGATCACTAGGCTATACCACCAAAATGGCTAAGGACAGTGAAAACAGGAACCTCAGACAAAGAAACCTCACTCAGGAGGTGCAGGGGGAACCATGAGGTTAACAGGAAAGAGGCATAAGAATCAGGCCTCAGAGGTAAATGAATGGTCAAATGAAGCCAAGCTCTGAGGACAAGCCTTAGTGTCCACTGTCCATTCCATTTTGACTCCACTTCGGGTAGTGTGGGAATGTCCTGTTGCGTTAGGCAGTGGCGAAGAGGCTGGAGCACAGAAAGGACCTGCCCAAGACTTCAAAGTGTGCTGGGGCACAGCTGGAGCAGCACCTATCCTCTGAATTCCCATTCACGTCTCTGCCTATGCTTCTAAAAAGCCTCCATTAGGTCCAAGGCAACACCAATTTTTGGGAAAGAGAAGTCCCTTGTTATTTCCATCAGTCAGGGAGGTAGAAGGTGAAAGGCAGTGAACAAAGGGGCAGAGGGAAGTGTGGGGTAGGAACTGAGCCTTCTCAGTGCAGGACTAGGGTTTGGGGGAGAGGCGTGGTGGGGAACAGACCAGGAAGACAGGTTCCTGACCTGGCCCTAAGCCTCGGTTCCCCACTTACAGCTCGAAAATTCACCACTCTGACACCAGTAAAATGTTTTCCTTCTTAACCTTTTTTTAGGGGGTATCCAGGGCCACATGACCCTGGGTAAGTCATTTAACCTTTCTGGGGACTAGTTTCCTGGTCATCAGTAAAATGGGGGTAACACTTCGTTCTCTGGCTATGTATCGTGAGGACTTGGACTTGCAGGCTGCTAAATGCTCCACCAGAGAATCCGTAGTATTCCTTTATTCCATCATCGTTATAGGAACCTTGATGCTACCCGACAATAATTGAGAAAAATGTAGCTCCTGCTTACCCCCGATACCAGATCCCCCTTGTTGGTTTTGTGACGGAGACAAAGGAGAGGACTAAAGCAAGGGGCTGTAGCATTGGCTCCGTCTCTGTGGTCCTGGGCAAATCACCCCCCTCCGGCTCTCTCCAAAGCCATTCGTAGCTCTAAACCCAAACATTCCCTGAGTGAATCATTTCTGTTTTGGAGGACATAGCTGACAAGCAGCACTTAGTCCAGGCAGGGGCAGCTCTGAATAGGGGTGTGGTGGCAAGCTGGAGACAGGAGCAGGCTGAGCAGATCCTGGAGAGGCACTGGGAGCCTCCCATCAGGCTCCTGCGTGTGCTACTGAGCAGATGCGGGTGTGAGGGCTCACGGGTAGTCAGAGGTTCCCCCAAGCCCCAAGCCCTGCTGCAGCCTAGGCGGATGGCTGAGAGCTAACCAATAGACTGGCAGGGGACAGACTGTATTAGGGAAGGAAGAGAGAAACTCTCCAAAGGAAAGAGGTGGGGTGGGGTGGGGTGGGGTGGGGCTGGGTGGGGCCAGCTAGCCTTCTGACATTCTTTTCTGGTGCCAGCAGCTGGTGAGAGGAGGGAGCAAGCCTGGCAGCTAGCTGGCTGGCTGCTGGGAACACCCGGAAGGGGAGGTGCCCACCACAGGAGGGTCTCCTTAAAGCTGGCCAAGGGCTGGGCAGGGGCAAACCTACGTGCCATCCACTTTAGTGCATGTGTTAGGTGTGGTGACTCTTGCAAGAGCAATTCAGACTCTCCGTTGGTCAGTTCCAGAGAGATGATTAAATCTCAGGAGACTTGCCCCAGGTTCATGGGGACCCCGGTGACTGGCTCCAAGGGAACAAGTACATTTTTTGTTCCTAGCTTCTAGTGGCATGCTCCTGTTTTTACACCCATCTCTCTTGGAAAGTTTCCTTTCCAAAGCACTCCTTCCTGACTGCGAATTCTGTTCATCTGTGTGCAGGGGATGTGGCCCTCAGATCCAGGGCACAAAGGTCGCCTATTCCTTGCTTCTGTCTCTGGGTGGTCCCTTACACCCCCAAGGGAAAGTCTGGAGGCGGCGCTCCCCCTTTCCACCGCCTCCCCAAGGCTTTCCATTGCAAAGGCAGAGCGCCACCAGCAGCGGGAGTCCTGGAGCTGCTGGCCAGGTGCCAGCCGCCCACCACCGCCGCCGCCGCCCCGCCCCCAACCCCGTGAAAGTGCGCGCAACGGCCCCACCTTGCCACTCGGCAGGCAGGCGGGGACAGGGGCGCGGCTGGACAGACCCTGGGGCCGGCACCTGATCTCTCCCGGAAATGGAGAGACAGGCTCATCCCACTAAAAGCGCCCACGAGCAACGTGCCCCTCCTTTCCCCAACTCTCCCAGAATTCTCCCCAGTTCAGATACTTATCGCGCTTGGCGGGGGGGAAAAATCAAGACAAGCTAGTCTTTCAGGTAATTTCGAGGGAGCTCGGAGTTTCTCACGGCGGCTCAGAACCAAAATTTGAAAGAATGGGGGAAGGAGGGCGGCTTAAGGTCCCCTCCGAGGGCGGAGGGCCCCTGACTCCAACTCTGTGACCGGGTCCCGGCCACCCACGGCCGGCGCGCCCTTTCCTCTCCAGTGTAAAAGTGCTAAAACCCCTCGGCGGAGCGTCCCTGCGCCACCTAAGACCCTTAGAGCGCCTGCATCCTCCCTTTCTCGCGGCCCCGCCACTTGTAAGACCCCACCCGGTCGGGCACAGGTCTGCCCGCCAAGGTCCTCTTTGGCCAGGCTCTCGCCTTCTCGGGAAAGAAGGTCCTCCGTTTCTCCCCACCGCCTTTCCCTCCACTCCCCTACCCTCGGAGGGGCAGACATGAACTCCAGCCCACACCCCTGGCGAAGGAGACGCCGGGGCCGGTCCCCACGCCGCAGCTCAAGGGAGCCCCGCGCCCCCCCCGCCTGCCCGGCTTCGCGGAGCCCCCTACCAACGTGCCCGCCCCGCCCGTTTCCGGACTCGCGGAGCGGCCAGCTGGCGGCCGAAGTGCCCTTTCTCCTCCGCTCCGAGTCCACCCGGACGGCAGTGCCAGTTACCGACCGCTACCACGGGCAGAGTCCCCCGGGCGGACAGGTGGCCCCGGAGAGGAGCGCGCGGCTGTCACGCTCACTCACCCAGAAGATGAAGTTAAAGCCGAAGAGCAGGTATTTGATGCACTTGGTCCCTCCTTTGACCGGCATGGTGAGAGCTGGACTGGCCTGGGCTGCACTGATCTGGGACGGGGCCGCGCGGCGGGGACACGCAGGAGCAGGTTGGGACTGAGGTGCTAGCAGCTGCGGGTTGTTCTCGGGGCTGCACTTTGAAAAAGTACCACTCCTTCCAGAGAGGGGCGGGCTGCGGTGCGCATGTGCTGTGGATCCCGCCCCCGGCCCGGGCTGGGGCCCCACCTGCCCCGCCCACGCCCCGCGGCCCGCCCCCCTCCCCCAGCGGCCGGCCCCCGCCCAGGTTCCCGGGATCCCTGCCCCAGAGGCCTTCCAGCCCCGCCCTTCTCTTTTTTTCCATTGTCTCTGGCTCAGCCCGCCCTCACCGAATAAACCTTTCCTTCCTTCCCGATCTTCTCTCTCTTTCCAACCAAGCACCCAGGGGTCTTTGCAGACCGCCACCCCCTGCTCCTTTTACCTGAGAGCTAATTGGAGGCCTCACCTTTCGGGTTCTCGCCCTATAGATTATGGCCTTCCCGCCCGAGCCCTCTACTTTGGGAGACCTTCCCCGGGTCAGCTCTCATCTAAAGCCGGCTGACTGCGCAATGAAAGCACTTCTTGTTTTGGCCTCGATTTGGAGGGAAGCTATCAGGCTTCCTCCTGGAGCGGCTCCTTGCAAACCTTCACTCCCTGAGCACACTCTTTTTGGGCGCCTCATGTGGAGTAGGAAGAATTAGAAGCTTGTTGTCCAGGTGGGAAGATAGAAACGAAGGGAAGTGAATAAACGGGGGCAAGGCAGTGGGACTAGAGAGTGCAGCAAAACCAGAAGAGGGGACAAGGGCCAGTCGAAGCAGAAGGAAGCACATTATGAAGAACTCTGTTCACTTATGCTTCTCCTGCCGTTTCTTGAGCATCTGCTATGTTTCATATATTGTACCGTATGCTAAGATGAATTGACCTCTATCCCTCATGAAAGATTCTCAGTTACAGCGTAGATGGAATGTTTGCTGGGGTGGGATGGGGTGGGGGAGATGTAGCCTAGAGCCAGGTAGAGGCATGGGGAGTGTCCCCAACTCTGCCTGAGTCAGGAAAGAGGCATCCCAGGCAGGGGACACTCAAGCAACCAACTTTGGAGGGATAGTCAACAGATGAACCCAGGAAGGAGTTCACGGCCGTGGGAACTTGTGTAAAGGCACAGAGCATGAAGCCACAGGCAGCTGGCTGTGCCCAGAAACCACCAGTAGGGGGTGAGATGGAGAACACAGGAGGAGGAGGAAGGAGCAGAGAACTTGGGGACCACTTAAATGTTGCTTAATGTCAAGAGCAGCTAAGCAGAGGAAGTGTTGTGTCACTGAGAATGGTTGCAGTACAAAACTATGTGAGGCACTCTAATAAGTAGCAAAGCAGACAATGCCCCATTGTACTGGAAAGTCAGAGTTCTCTCACTCGTCTTGGGAGGACATGTCTAAGGAAAGAAAATATTTTGTCTTTTTATAGTCTACTCCCTGCCTCCCCTCACCCCATTAACAAGCACAGCTGGGAGGAGTTTAGTAAATGTTTAAGCTTATAATAGAAACTACTTCTTAGGGTAATTGTGAGTATTGAAAAAGATAATCAACAGCAGGGCTTACTTAGTACAGTGCCTGCTCCAGGAATGCTCAAAAAATGTTGGCTGTTGTTGTTGTTATTGTTATTATTATTAACACTCCAGGAACAATTATGGGAGGGCTATAGTTAAACAACTTACACACAATCAAGAGTTCTTACAGTGCAGGTGGGGAGATCTGAGTTCTGTTCTTGGTTGGACACTTCTGTTTATTTTGGATAAGTCACTTGTTCTTTCTGGGCCTCAGTCTCCTCATCTGAACCATGAACATTTTGGATGGAAGGGGCATCCTGACATTCTCCAGTGCAATAAGCGTCCAGGCCAAATTGTGTTTGTTACAGGCTGTTTAGTTTTACAGGCAACCAGGAAAAGGGGAGATGGAAAAAATATGCTTTGCTTTAGTTGGAAGGGGAAAATCTGGGTAAGCCCCTGAGTCAGAGATCTCATGGTAACATGAGGCCTTCCAGGATTTGTGGTGCTGGAGTGGGAAAACTTTCCCTCCCTTTCCTCACGGCATCCTGTTTCTGGAAAAAACCCAGGTTCGGAGGAGTGTCCGTCCATTTTGGCTTTGTGCTCCCCCTGGTGGTAATATTTGAACATTCAGGGGCCTGGTGAGCTAATGACCCCCTACCTCCATATCCCTGGGATTGCTCATCCCTGCAGCTGTGGGAGGCAACAGGCAGGACCCACATTCTCACAGGTCACTGAGACCCTCCCAGCCACCACGCCAGTGGTCATGTAGAGGCTTGTTTTCTCCTCGATGCTGCTGTGGCATTTGACCCCCTGATTATCCGTCCCTTCTTTCCAGACACATCTCCCTCAGAGTCTCTGGTGCACTCCCTTGGCTCATTCCCTTTATTTCTGGAAACTTTATTTATTTATTTATTTAAAGAAGAAAAGGGAGGGAGAGAGGAAGAGAAACATCTGTGTGAGAGGGAAACATCGATTAGTTGCCTCTCATATGCGTTCCGACCAGGGACTGAACCTGCAACTTAGACATGTGCCCTGGCTGGGGATTGAACCAGCAACCTTTCACTCTGTGTGATGATGCCCAACCAACTGAGCCACACTGGTCAGTGCTAGAAACTTCTTTTCTGCCCCTTTTACTGAGCTCAAATGCTACCACTTTATGAAGACTTTCTTCACTCCAGTGTTTTCCTCCATGGACTACCTTGACTCTATCATGTGTGACTCATTGACCTCCATCAAATTTTTTTTTTTTTTTTTGGGCAAATGAGTCTTTATTCCCGCTGCTGAAAATACACATGCTGCTCTGCTCCTGCCTTGGCCAGTGCCCCAGCCCAGGCCTAGGGCACTGTGTTCGGAGTCCCAGGACCTCCATCCCTGAGTCGTCTGTGTCTGTGCGTACGGAGGGCACTCCTGGGCGACGCGGGGAGGCAGTGCAGGGGCGAGGGGTGCTCACAGGTGCCCCGTCACAACCCCCAGAGGTAGGCAGTCTTGGGCAGGGCGGCAGCACGGTCAGAGTTTGGTGGTCAAAACAGGGCTGACTTGATTGGACCTCGGGTGTTGGAGGGCAAAGATGACAGCATCGTGGACAGAGGCAAAGAGGTGCTGCTTAGTGATGGACGCATCAAAGAAATGCCCGGTCTCAAGCTGGGCCACCACAGGAGTGTGGCAGGCAGCCATGTACACCTCCACCTTGATCTCTTTTGTGTGTGCACAATTTGGTGGTGAGCTCCTCTAGTGTGCACTTGCATTTGATTCATTTCTGAGTTCTCCACAGCGCCCAGTCCCTTGCTGGCCCCGAGGCCCACTGCAAACGTGTGTGGGAAAACTTTAAGGGAGGGGGCCTTCCTCAGGCTCTACTCCTCTGCTCTGTGTGCCCCTCTTTCAGCGCTCTCACTGAGCACTCATCCCCTCTTCTTACTTCCACCATTTCTCTCTTTTTAAAAAAAAATGTAATTAACTTATTTTTATTTTTTATTTTAAAAAAATATTTTATTATTTATTTTTAGAGAGAGGAAGAAGGGAAAAAGAGAGGGAGAGAAACATCAGTCTGTGGTTGCCTCTTGAGCTCCCCCTACTGAGGACCTGGCCTACAACCCAGGCATGTGCCCTGACTGGGAAATAAACAAGCAACCCTTTGGTTCGCAGGCTGGCGCTCAATCACACCAGACAGGGTTAATTTATTTATTTTCAAAGAGAGGGGAAGGTAAGGAGAAAGAGGGAGAGAGACATCGATGTGAGAGGGAAACACAGATCGGTTGTCTCTGTATGCACCCTCTCTGGGGACTGAAACCATGACCCAGGTATGTGCCTTGACTGGAAATGGAACTGACACCTCTTCCCTCTGTGGAACAATGTCCCACCAACTGAGCACTGTTGAGTCAGTGCTACAACAGTGACTTTTAAGGAAAACATTTCGCTGTCCTTTAGAGTTACCAAAGGTCCCCAATTAAAAATATCAGAGTAGGTTATGCTCTTATTGATATGCTGAAATATAGTCTAATTGCAAAGGCTTTCTAGAGGAGTATGAATGCCTATAAGACATTAAGTGGGAGTTTGACATAGGTTCCATCTGCAAGACAAAAGTCAGAGATATTTAGAACATTTTTTGCTAAATATACCCAAATATTTTCATCTTGTTTGAAAGGAATAAGTTCTTTATAACATGGGGTTAAACAAAAAGTAGTGAAAAAGAGTATAAGTCATTGTTTTTGAAAGATGACTTTTATGTCTTCTTGTGGTTCAGTGGTCCATTGTCCTTCTGGTGCTTTCTTTACTCTGGTGTGATGAATCCAAGGTTTTATTCCTGCCAGTTTCACCACAGTTGGGGTGGTGAGGAGTACACCTCAAGGTCTAGTCAATCTTTCTTTTGGTTGTCTTCTGGGGACCTTGTCTTCCAAGTCTTGAGTAGCACTTTATCTCTAAGCTCAAAGGAAAGTAGCAAACCTGCAGGGGAGAGCCCTCTAATACAAATGAGGTCATTTGTTATAACTAAGGTCCACCCGGACAATTTCATGAGGACTCAATTGAATCCCACTTTGAGGAGCCACCCTTATCTTGAGTAGGGCGATAGGTAGAACTTGATCCCAATAGAGATGAGTCTCTTGGCATAGCCTGGCTATATTTTTCTTCAAGGTGTGATTCATCTTCTCTACCTTCCAGAAGCCTGAGGTCTCCATGCTGTGTGGAGCATCCACTTGATTCCTAAAAATTTACTAACCTTCTGTGTAATTTCTGAGACAAAAGCAGGTCTATTATTGCTTTGGATCTTGCCAGGTAGGCCAAAGAGAGGAATTATTTCCTTCAGTAGGGCTTTCACTGTCTCTGAGGATTTCTCAGTTCTAGTAAGATAGGCTTCTACCCATCCTGAAAAGATGTCAACAAAGACTAACAAATACTTTCACCCTTGGACCCTCAGCGTCTGGGTAAAGTCCATTTGCCAGTCCTCAAATGGGCATGGTCCTTGGTATTGTTTACCTTCTTTCTTTCTTTCTTTTTAAAAGAGAAATAAAAAGAGGTAGAGAAAGAAAAAAGAAAGAGAGGAAGCGAAACATCAGTGTATGGTTGCCTCTAGAGTGCCCTCTACTAGGGACCTGGCTCATGTGCCCTC